ATATATCGGCTTATCGACGAGATTACGTTACGCAATGCGGGCTCGTTGTAAATTTTACGGATTGTACGCAACTGTTGCCTTTCTTAAATTAAGTACATCGCTATTACACGTAGAATACACAATATATGTAATTGAGATAATAAAATTAAATTGTGCATCTTAGTGCGCGCAAAAAGTGCGACGTGGGCAATATTACATCTTTGAATTTTAAATTATTTAATAACAGCCTTGTAATAGCCTTATAATTGCTTTTGTCCGATACAGAAAAGATGGCCATCGCCGCCTCGGAGAATTATCAGCTGAAATGGCACAGCTACGGAGCGCATCTGCACAGCTCCGTCGCGACTCTGCTCCACTCAGAATCCTTCGCGGACGTTTTGCTGGCCACGTCCTGCGGGCGGCACGTGGCGGCCCATCGATTCGTCCTCGCGGCCTGCTCGTCTTACCTCAGTCACATTTTTCAAACGTGCCATTTCGGCGCCAACACCAACGCTCCGATAATCGTGGTCGGTAATCAAAATCTTTCACACTTGTACAAACTTATTAGCGTCAGCATTTTCTTCGCGTAATTCTTCTCACCTCTTATCAAATAGATTCGAAACCGCGACACCGCGTAGATGTTGAATAACGGAATGACATACGTTCTTTCATACCGTAGGTGCTGCCTACGGAGATAGGATACCGCACGTTAAAAATCCTGATACAGTACATGTACAGTGGCGAAGCCACTGTGACCAACGATCAGCTGGAAGGAGTCCTCAAGGCCGGCGACATACTACGTGTGCGTGGACTGTGGAGATCAAATACCGGCAGCAGCAAAAAGGAGAACATACAATCGAATAATCAGAAAATCGAACGCGACAAGCGGGAAACGTCGCAGCTGACCGGACAAATACAAAAGATCAAGCTGGTACAACCGACCGCGGAGAAGGTAATCGAGAATGTGCAGCAGGCAGCCACGGCTTGCCAAAATAATGTACAGCCCACAAAGTCGGTTGAGAGGAAGAGCACCGAGAAAATCGAGGATAAGACCAACGAATCTGAGACCAAGAAAGTCTCGGAGGAGAAGAATAACGAGCAGAGTAAGAACAAGGAAAACCTCGAGACAAACGGCAAAAAGAAGAAAGCCGTTAACAGCGACGTCGAGTCGAATAAGTCCAAGAGCGAAGGTGGCGAAAACGTGAGCTAGTTCTTTTGGGTTTAGCAACAATGCAATAAAGAGAAGCACACTTCGTTTACTAACGAAAAGCCTAATATTCTTTTTCCATTTTAGACTGAACTAAACTTGGAGTTGTTAGTAAAGGACGAGCCGATCGATTGGGAAGAAACGATTGATCCGTCGGAATCACTCACGATAGACCATGAAATCGATATCAAACCAGTGCGTAAAGTTAAAGTTACCATAGGCAATCAGTTGCTTTTTTTTTAATGTAATAAAATTTAAGATAATAACGTTTGCTCTATCGTTGTCGCAGGAGATCGTACATAGCGCGGATGAGGATGGAGATATGGAGGAGGAAGAGTATACCCCACTGACATGCGATATGTGTAGTCAAACGTTTAACAGACCGTCGGATTGGGTGAGACATATAGAGTTCACGCACGCTGACATGACTGAAAATCGAAGAAAGAAACGAAAGGTACTGTGTCACGAATTCTTTACGACGTAGATACGCACACGAAAGATTGTGAAACGAAGAAAATGGCGGTTTCAGGACGATATAAATGACGACAGCAAGGACTTTCCCCCTCTGAAGTGTGATCTATGTGGCAACATGTATTCCACGCCGCAAGAGTGGGTGCGTCACATACAGACGGAACATACGGAGGAGCAGTTGGCCTTGATGAACAATTCGGCGCCCCCTAAGCCGAAAAGGGTTCACAATCACCAAAAGTTATGCAACATATGTCAAAAAGAATTCCCGAGTCACGCTTCGATGGTCATCCATCAAAGAACGCATACGGGCGAAAAGCCTTTCCTTTGCTCTTACTGTAAAAAAGGCTTCAACGTAAAGAGCAACTTGCTGAGGCATTTAAGGACACTGCATGACAAATACGTACATCCTAGCTTATACGGAAGTAATGGTAGCACGAACGCTTAAAGACCCTTCACATTTCTTTCCGACTATATATATATGTGTATGTGTGTCTGTGTGTGCATATATACAATATATGTATATATATATATATATATATATATATGTATGTGTATGTATGTATATACACATGTGTGTGTATGTATTGTCTGCATGGCGTCTCAGTTGTGGAAAGACCATACAGTATCTTATGTATATTCAATATTATGACTACGTAGACTGAACATGTATCTATACGTATAAAATGGATGCCAAATCGGAGCACGACATGACGACAAACGAGTCAAGATCTGTGTGAATCTCCACCGAAAGAAAACATAACTGAGCGCATTTTAAAAATTGCATATTGGAGAGAAATCTATACAAACTATTTTTTCTAAAGAGTAGTTGTGTCGCATTCTTTATATATAATAATCTTCTCTTTTTAATATAGAAAATAATAGAACTCCTCTCTCGTCAAACAACTTTCGATT